AAAATTGACTTTCAGTTATCAGTAGAGAATTGAAAATTGAACAAATAGTATATGAACTCTTTCAACTTTCTGCCCCCAACTATATATTTCTCTGTCTCTGCACCCACACTTAACCCTCTATTTGTCTTAAAAGAAGAATTATCTTTTCTTCTGTTCAAGGTTTATCTCTCTTCCTTTAATCTTAGTACTATCCAATCCTGTCTTCTCTGGGACTTTAGAAGACCAGTTATCTCCCTCCTGGTTCCCATATTTCCATTCTCTTCTCTTTATTGTATCTTTCTCTTTAGCATATAAATATACTCAAGCCTCTTCTTTCTTCAGCTCTGTGTCCCCGTCTTGCTAGTCATGACCTTTATGATTATAAGTGATACAAATTTTACTCAAAGTGACTTAAGCACAAAAAAAGGAAACTGATTGTCTCATGTAAACTGAAAAGTCCAGATATGTTTCTGGCTTTAATCTTGGCTAGATCAAGGCATTCAAGTAGTCTCATCATGCCTCTGGCTTTCTCTCAATCTTTTAGCTGTGCTTGTTGCTAATTGGCTTTATTTTTTAAATAGACTTCCTCACATGGCTGATAACCTGTAACTTACCTCTTCCCAGTTTAGCAGCTTCAGTGGAAAAAGTAGTTTTCCCTGTTCACTTTGGCAGACCAGAATTCATTCAAACTGGCCCCATTTGAGTCATGAGTTCATTCCTTAAGCAATCCCAGTAGCTTGGGGATTGGGTCATTTTATCCCTGTTGGCCCCAGGGAAAATAGGGCGCTTTGAATGATGGCCTCATCAAGATCACATGGAACTGTAGATGTAGTTCCCCCAAAGGTCAAGGGGGTTACTCCTCCTAAAAGAAGGGAAAGCATGCCAGGCAGACAAAAAACAGAATTCTAGAGTCCCTGTACCCTCTATCTCTTGCTTTCTCATCAAAACAAAAATTCTTGAAAGAGCAAGTTGCACTCAATGTGCTCATCTCCTTATATCATACTCACTCTTCATTCATGAAAATTTGGGTTTTGTCTCCATCATTCCTTTGAAACTGCTTTT